TAGTCTGTTGTGAGGAAAAAAATAAATTTTAAAAGATGTAATAAAAAATAACTTTCATAGTACAAAGAAATTTTGAAAGCATTATGAAAGCACTAGCCAAATAGAATTATGATTACAGTTTAAAAAATAAAATAATATGAAAGCTATCCCAAATAAAACCTTAATTGTCTCTCCTTAATTACAAGTTAGATGAGGTACTAATGGACTTTTCAAAGATGAAACAATAATGTACAGTGGAAAGTAAAATGGCACCAGCATGGTTCATAAAGAGGAGAGAGGTTTTAAAAAATATGGGAAGAATAAAATCTAAGACTTTATTTGGGATGGCTGTTTTATTGATACTTAAAGCAGTTTTTTAATTAAAAAAATAAAATTACTTTACGAAGCAATAAAAAAGTCATTCCAAATAAACCTAAGTGTTAAAAATAAACTTAAAATCACAAGGAAATAATAATGCAAGAAAATAATTTTTTAGTTTTATTTGAATAGATACCATTATTTTATGTTCACGCTTAAGCTTAGTTTGAGACGACTTTCTTTCTGTTTCTTGAAGCAGCTTCCTAGTACAAAAATTTTAATTTTAGTACTAAAAAGCTGATTTAAGAAGCAATAAGAAAACCGTCCCAAACGAAACCTTAATTTCTACCCAAATTAGGATTCCACAGCCAATTGCTACTGCAAGCCAAACTCATTCACTATCTAGCTGGTGGAGAAACTGCCATACCCTCACTGATTTATGCTGCCACGTGTATCACAATACAAACAAAAATAGAATAATAACATTAAGGCTTCATTTGGGACGGCTTTTTTATTGCTTTCTAAAACGGAGTTTTAGTACAAAAATAAAAAAAAATTGTACTAAAACTCCGTTTTAGAAAGCAATAAAAAAGCCGTCCCAAACGAACCCTAAGTCTTTCGAGACTTGCAAAGTAAAAATATCTAAACAATATAAATATCAAAAAAAAAAATTCTTACAATGCTCTGGTCATTGAAGAAATTATCATTGAAAAATACAACCAATATGTCATCAATAATATGTTTAATTTTGCATAAATCTTGATGAATATTTGAATTGAAATTTTGTTCTAATTAAATTCGTGATCATTCAAACTCCAATTTTAATAAATTTATAAGCAAACTGAATATCTCAACTAGACAAAATCCATTGACATCAGAAGTTATCAAATCCCACTTTAAATAAGGCCAAATCAAGCATTTGAAGTATAATTGAAACCCTTGAGACATTAATTGGGCGAACAAGTGTTTTTCAAATCTTGCATGCTTATAATTGGATTGAGCATCTTGATGATTAATTTTGATATCATTAAAGCACTTAAATATTGAAAGAATGAACTGTGATAAAGGAAATCTAAACTGGTGTTTCGATCAAGTGTTGTAGATTTTAGTTATATTTATAGAGAATGACACTTTCAAAATTTATAAATAAGCCCGTATTTTATACATAAAGGGGAGAGGGGGAAGTTTGGACCTTTGGCTTGACATTCAATAGAACTAAAAAGTTTGAAGATTCTTAGAGCTCTATCAGACCACTATCAAAGAACCACCACAAATAGACCATTAGCATATGACCATTCTCATCGAACAACCGTAGTTCGACCACCTCCATCGAACCACCATCGCAACTCAAACAATGTCATTCATGCGCCATCATCAAACCATCATGGTAAAATCATTAATGTCACAATTCTGACCATTAAGTACGATCTCTCGATCACCATTACTTGACTATGATTTTCATTCACTATCATTAAATGACTATAGTCTCTAGACCACTATCGCTTGACCATAATCCTTTGACCAATATTATTTGACTATAACATTTTGGCCACCATCTTCAAATTATGATCCTCTAACCATCATCACTCAACTACAACTTTTAAACCAATGCTACCTAACTATGATTCTCTAATCACTGATGCCAGATTATAATCTTTCCACTATCATCAGCTATCTGATTTCCAACCACCCTCGCCCAATTATGATCCCCGACTACAATCACCTGACCACGGCTCTTTGACCATTATTATCTGACTATGCTCACTTGATCATCGTCACCTTACCATAATTGGCTAATTATGATCCTTTGATCACCATTGCCCAATCATAGTCTTCTAATTACCATCGTCTAACTATAATTCTTCGATCTTTAACGCTTGACTATAATATTATGATCATCGTTATCTAACTATGATTTCTTGACCATTGTTGCATAATATGGTCTTTCACCCTTGTTGCCTCATTACAGTCTACCGACCACTATTGCATGATTATGATCCTCTAACCACCTTACTTGACACAATCCTCCAACCACCCTCGCTTGATAATAGTCCTATGACCATCATTGCCCTATTATGATTTTTCGACCACCATCACCCAACTACAGTCCTCTGATAATCACCACATAACTATAGTCATTTGACCACCATCGCTTGACCATAATCACATAATTACCATTGTCCAATTATGATCCTCTAACCATCATTGCCTAAATATGAACTTCTAATAATTGTTACCCAACTATGGCACTATGATCACCATCATCCGACTATGGTACTCTTGTAAAAACACAAAATATTAAAAAAAAGTTTTAATTTCTATTTGAATTAGAGTGTTGCAGTTTTGAGATTGTGAGCACTGAGGTGCTATGCATGAGAGCACAGTGGTGCCAAAAACTATCGTGACGACATTTTAGTCTCTATTCTATAATAAATTTGATTTCCACATGAAACGTGACAACGCTGAGTCGGAGCACTATGGCACTGGGCCACTAAAAGTGTGTGTGTGTGTGTGTGTGTGTATATATATATATATATATAATCAAATCATATGCACTAAAATCACCCCAATGCCTACCCTTCTTCATTCGACCGTGACTTACTTGGGAAGGAAAGGGTGAAGGGGGAGATGAAAAGGAGAGAGGAAGCTCTTTGGGGCTTTTATGCCTATCACATATAATAATATCAATGCTACTGCTGGTATACTATTATTATTATTGCTATTGTTATTGATTCACTACATTGTTTATTAATTGGTTGATTATGTGATGTACTAAGCATGTGATTATGATACTGCAGTAATATTGATATAGAATATGATTATTGTTATTAATTTATTGCATTGACATTACTACTCCAAATTAACTATATTAATATGATTTTCTATAGTCTTATCAATGCTTTGATTTTATCGATCTATATAATTCTTTTACTAATTGTCACTGATTGATAATACTGATATGATAATTGCTTTATGGTTTTAATACCTATAATGATTTATTGGTTTACATATTATACTAATTTGTTGGTTTATGTATCATACTATTTTACAGTTTACAGACTCTTACTGGTAATATATATGAGTTTTATTATTTTTGCATTGATTTGTGATCATATAATTGTTACTAGTATTGAACTGATTAGACATGAATATTGCTTCTTTAATGTGCTTTAGTTTAGTTATAGGATTTGGTGATCTGCTAAGCTATTTAGCTCATTATATGTGATTTAAATAATTTAAGACCAAAAGACAAGAACATGAGTGAGAGATTGAGCATGATTCTTTAGGTTTAGGTTCGTATTATTTTAGTTTGTCTTTTATACTCATGACATAATAGTTATGATATGATTGTGTAGATCCTGAGTAATGTACATTATTTTTTAGAAAATAAATACATATGTGTATATTGATATTTTGATAAATAGTTTTATTTTGTTGATATTTATATTGATAAAATAAATTAGATAGCTATGGTTTTTGTATATTAAAAGATAAAAAATAATTATTCTAAATTAGATTCTATAGCATCACATTTGTTTCATTTAAATTAATAGATGTTCATGTTTGATTTGTATTTGATTCATATTCGATTTATTTCACACTTATCAAGATTTAAACAAACAAGTCTTATTGAGCTATAAACAAGTTGTACTTTTATATGTTCATTAGCTTAATAAAAGAGCCTTATCAAACCTACTAACAAGCAATTACATTGAGCTTGGTCCTAAACATATATAACGAGCATTTTCAAACTACCAAACAAGCCATTTCACAAATATATCTATCGAGTGTTTTTATGCTACCAAATGAGCTTGTTTGTGAATATATTTATGTAGCAAGAGTTTTCAAACTATCAAACAAGTCTATTCACAAACATATCTAGCGAATATTTTCAAGCTTTCAAATGAGCCGATTCACTAACATATCGAGTGAGTGTTTTCACTAAAGATTTTTGGAGCATAGTAGGGGAGAAAGAAGAGGGAAGAAAGACATTGGAGAGAAAGACAAGGGAAGAAATATTAGGGTTCAGAATTTGAGCAGCGTCGAGGAGAAAGAAGAGGGAGAAAAGACTAAGTTACTGGACCAGATCAACATTATGGGATAGAGAAGAGGGAAGAAAGACATGGGTTCTGAGTTGAAAAGTTGAGCAACATTTTAGAAATGTTAAGCGAAGAAGCCTAGGGTTTGAATTTTTGCATTTGAGAAGATGGAATTTCACTTTCGCTTTGCCTTTCTCTTACTTTATCACATATAACTAAATAATATTGTAAAATAAGAATAATTATAAGTAATTATGCATAATATCGATTTAATACATATTTATAATTGTTATTATTATCCTATACTATAATATTTAATTAATTTAAAATTTATTAATTAATAAATATTATATCATTAAATTATAATAAATAAATAATATTTATATTAGGTATGTTCATGATTTTTATAATCAAACGTTAATCAAAATTTTAAACAAGCTTATTCACGAGCTCCAGTAATTTCAGGTTACTATTTAAATTGAAAATAAATAAAATTAAAAAATTTATCCGAACGGCCCTCAGTAAATTCAGGTTACTACTTAATACTATCCAATGACAAAATAGCCCATCCCGTGGCGGGCTTGAGGACCACCACCTCACGCAAGATTTCAACGGCAAAAGCCGCTTCGTACCCGCCAATAGCCAAGAAAAAAAAACCGATCACCAATTCCCTCTACAAGCGCGCTTCGCCACCCCGCGCAGCTTCACCGGCTATTTAATCGTCGCTTCTAACCACAATGTCATCCAAAAGCGCAATCGAACCAGAGCATCCATAGAGAAAAAGACAGAGATGGCGACGACAATGGTGGCGGAGGCGATCAATGATCCGTTGGCGGTGGTGGATTCGAATGTGGTGGTCGATCCGCAGAAGCGGAATCGAATCCAGGTCTCTAATAAGAAGAAGCCGCTCTACTTCTACGTCAATCTTGCCAAGGTATCTATCTCATTTCTGGTCGATCTTCATTCCTCGATCTTGTTTCTTAATGCGATTTCGTTTGCCCTTTTTGAGCTGCCGTTGCATTTTGATCAATCCTTTTTACGGTTTGGTTGATTGGTGGATCGGTAGATAGAATTCGGATTATTCAAATTCTTACGCTAGATCTACGACCATCGTTCTAATTTCTTGAAATCGTTTAATGATCTTGTTCGATCTTTTCGCATGTCGGATTCCGTCTTGTCGTTTCTTGTTTCTGATTTGGTATTTGTTCTGTTTGGTTTACAGAGGTACATGCAGCAATACAACGAGATCGAGCTTTCTGCTCTTGGCATGGGTAAGTTGCCCGCCACATCCGAATATCCGATCCATCTCATGTTTCCTGTTTCCCGTATATATTTCCTGTTATTACAAGACCGTAGAAAGAGACAGTGAGCGCACATTTTTGACTAATATCTAACTTTTTCTTTTCCAGCGATCGGTACAGTTGTTACGGTCGCGGAGATCCTGAAGAACAAAGGCCTAGCAACTGAGAAGAGTAATAACCAAAACCCAAACTGAACCAAAAATAGTCATGACTTTATTGAATTTTGGTATTAACGTGTGATTTCTTCTTGGAACAGAGATTCTGACTTCGACCATCGGAACCAAGGACGAAACAAAGGGTCGGCTCATCAGGAAAGCCAAGGTCCGGCTTCTCAAAATTTTTTTTTTTTAAATGAATTTGCTATTTTAGATTTTCATATTTGGTTCTAATCCTGTAATCCAGTTTGAATTGATTAAAAATGATGAATTTTTATTCTAATTTAAAGTGCCTAAATTGAACCTATTACTTGAAAAGAATTGTTTTAAGCGACATTCCTTTTTGTACGGGCAGTTGGATAGATTTCTTTCTTATTTTTTACCATTACAGATCCGCAGGAAAATGCTTTAAAAAAACTTCTCATCACTATTCATTTTGATATTAATATCTATGTTTACAAATGTTAATTTTTTGGTATTGATAGTGATCGTTGAAAAAAACAATGCAAAATAAATAATTAATCTCTTGATAAGCATTTATAAAATAAAAAATTAACCTCTTATCCTTCATGCAGATTGAGATCTTCCTTGGGAAAACGGAGAACTTCGACGGGCTTACGACAGCCGCGAAGGCCGAGGGAAAGGGCAACAGGAATGGAGCAACAGGAAAGGCCAATCGCATCAACGCCGGCAAAAACCCCTCTCAGGGCGAGAATGGCGGCATCAAGGTGGCGGAGTAGATCATGAATTGATCTACCCGGTGTTTTGCTGTTGCAATTACCTTCACTCGTCAGTTCTTCTGACATGGCATTCGCAATGGCAACCCGATTGTCCGCTAAGAAGTGTTGTTTCTTAATTCCTCTGTCGTTTGTTTTTCAGTTTCTTCTTTCTAGCTGAAGATACTTTTTATTTTAATTTTCTTTTGGTTTTCCGATCGAGAGGTTACTTTCAGACTTCTCAAAAGATTCTGGACTTTTCTCTGGACCTGCTGAGATCTGTACATATCCAGCTCTAGTCCTCATGTACTCGTAACGCTTGCAGAAGTTCTGAATGTTACTGAATTTCGTTTGTATGTTGTGTGAAAGTTTATTACTGAATCAGTTTGAGATGAGCTTATACATGTTACAAATCTTGTGAGAAATTTCTCATAGGATTTTGATGCTAGACAAAATCAGGGGAAAGGAAACGGGGAAAACTTATTATGCGGAGAGTTCGTATATGAGGACAACCTGTACTAAGGAGGCTGTGCATTAAAAATTTAAAATTTATGTGTTCTTACCTATAAATTTCTCCCAGAAGAGAGGAGAAGATCACCTAAATACCTCAGTATAATTATATAGACCTGAGGCTGAATTACATATATATCAGTACGTTAAGATTAATAAGAAAAAAAAGTGTATATCCTAGCCTTATTCGTGTGTGCTTATATATATCATGAAAGGTTTGAAATGTGTTAAATTAAATTACCACGTAGTTATAAGTAGGCAGATTCACCTTAAGCCCGGAGTCTTTATTATAAGGATTTTTAGATAATTACCTCCCTTTATTTTTTTTAAAATACTATGATCTTCAGTAGTTGTCTCAAGTATAATTAAATACATTGTATAGATGTATTATTGTTTGAAAATGATGAATCAAATAAAAGAAGAAATTGTAAAGAGATGAACCAAATACAAAAAAGAAATAGTAAAAACAATCCAAAAATATCCCTGGTGATTCGAACCTTGCCAGGGGGCGCTAACCCCTTGGACCCCGACATATCTACGAAGAGTACAACGATAAATTATGATATGAACAAATAGGGGTTGAGCTAAATTCTATACTTTTACTTATAAATTTGTCCCTCCAAAAATTAAAACTAGTTCCGCCCCTAGTTACAAATTAAATAGGGTTTAGAGGCGGAACCAACTTTGCCCGACAAACTGTGGAAGTATTTATTGTGCAAATTATCAAATGCTATATTTTTTTTTTTTCAAATATATATACATATCACATATATAAATTTCGAGCATAAGACTTTTTTATTAGTAGTCAAAGCTTTTAACCAACCAACAGATTAAGATGAGCTGTGTATCAAAGTGTTGCTTTGTGTTCCTGCCATTTGAAGATTGTTTTTTTTTAGCCCCAAATGTCATTTGAAGATGGTGAAATGATTAAGGCCTCGCTTGGGATGGCTTTATTACTGCTTCTTAAAACATCTTTTTAATATACAATTTTTAATTTTTAAATTAAAAAATTATTTTAAAAAACAATAAAAAAAAGCCGTCCCAATGGAGCTGAGACCTATTTTGGCAAGAGCCGAAACTCGCTGGGCAAGAAAACATTTCCCCACAACAACAATTATCTGCTTAAGGGAAGGTAGAATGGCGCTAGCAGAAAATGCTAGTTTTATTTCTCAAGATTTGGGGGCTTTTGGATTAAGTAAAATTTTTTATGATGATGTTACCTTTTAAAAATTATTTGAATTATTTGACAAGAAAGATGTTAAATTCTAATAATTTTTTGTGAAATTATTTTGAATTGAAATTCAAGATTTAATTTGATTAATTCAGATGGGATTTATGCAAATTAAATTGATACTTCATCAAAAAATCATCTCGATTGAGCACGAATCTCAAGGCATATTTAAGTTTGAAACTTCCAAAATAAATACGGGAACATTTGATGATTTGAACTCTGATGTCAGCAAACTTATAATCAAATTAAACATTTCAATGAGACGAACCCAACGAAATCAAAATTGGTCCAATCTGAGTACAAATGAGCCTAACTTTTAAAAAAATCAAAAGATATTTAAAAGCTTCAAAACATTAATTGGATGATCAAATGATATTAAAATATGACATGCTTATAGTCGAATCGAGCGGCTCGACAGATGAAACCAAAAAAACCAAGATCGCTTAATTTTGACGTTATTAAGGAACTTAAATGCTGAACAAATATTCTATAAATGAGGGGATCAATATGTGTTGTCTGATGGAGTACTCCGAATTTGCCCTAGATCTTCCCCATGTTTACAAAGCATGTCACTCTCTAAATCTATAAATTGACCATCTTTTCCCACATGAGGTGGGACTTGGATGTTTGGAGGCTCAAACCTTCGGCTAGGGACTTAAAAGAGCTCTTAGGCTTGAAGCATTGCAGAGCTCCACACAAGCACCACCGCCGACAAACCCTTGCCACTAGGCCGTTGTTGTTAGACCATCGCCGTTGGACCTCCATCTGACAGCCATTGCAGGGCCTTCATTTGACCTCCGTCACCTCGTTGACTATGATCCCTCTGATCTTTGTTTCTCGCCTACTAAGGTCCCTCCGAACTTCGTTGCCCGCCGCCTACTATGGTCCATCTTACCACCATCACCGCCAAGTACGGTTCCTTTGACCTCTATCACTTGATAATGGTCTCATCTACCTTAATATCTAGATTATGGTCCCTTCGACATCTATCTCTTGACGACTACCACTACCCACCTGTTAAGGTCAGTCATACCTCTAACACCTAACAACGGTCCTTTCCAATCTCCGTCTCCGAACTACTATTTTACTGGCCAAACAAACATGCCAATACTCTTTTGAGAACAACTATCATATTAATGGATTCTTTCAACTCACACCATGTAATGTACTCTATATGATGTAAATTTGCTACATTGAGCCGGGGCCTTTCCCCCAAGGAAACACATAATTTGTAATCAACTATAAACACTAGTATAATCGTTTTAATTGAGCCATACCTTGTGATTTTTCCTATTTTGAGGGTCCACATAAAAATCTTGGTATCTCTTATGACTCTTGCACCCCACAATCTTATATGTGTGTGTGCTGGATCTTCGTACAAAGCTAGGATGCTGAACCTGATATCTCTTTACCAAAGTGAATGTTCCGACACGCAATAAAAATAATATTAGTTAGTATCAATATATGAAATCATGATAAAAAGCAGTACTATATATCATTTTTTACAAATCCTGCAAATTCTTCTTCTTCCTTACCACCTAATATGCTTCTATTAGCCCATCGTATCAATTATGAAAGTTATTCAGCTTTTGTATTTCTATTCTTTTGAAGATAACTTGTTTATTAGAGATTACATTTTAGCAAATACAAATATAAGCAATAAAAAACATCATATATAAATTTTTTTAAGTGAAAGATATAATTGGGCTTGGCTCAATTGCAATAATCTAATATATAATTATATGTATAAGATTATGCACTTCTTTATCGTTAAAAAAGATGAGATTATATAATTAAAAATAATTATTTGATTCCCATTATAAAGATTATAAGGGGTTGTTTGGTAGCACCTAGGATTTGATTTAAGTAGGATTTCATAAATTTATTCGGATTTCAAAAATCCTGAGGGGCCTAAATCCTGAAAACTGTTTGGTAACATTCATGATAAATCCTATTAAATCTCGTGTGACCGTTTGGCTATAGAACAGATTTAATGAGCGGACTCTTCCTCTTTAGCCAACAAATTTCGTAAATTCGGCAAAAAGTAGGACTTAGGAAATCCAAAATTTAGCTCGAAAAGGCGGAATTTTTTGTCTACGGCGGATTTCTTTTGCCGTGAGATTTGGTTTTGCATTTTAGACCATTTGGCTATATTTCACTCAAATCCTCCTCAAATATGGCCTAAATCCTATTACCAAACAGTCCCTAAGGGGCTATTTGGTAGAATTTAGGATTTCATTTAAGTAGGATTTCGTAAATTCGGGATTTGGAGGATTTACGGAATCCTGAGGGGTTAAATCCTGAAAACTGTTTGGTAACATTCATGATAAATCCAGTTAAATTCTTTGTGACGGTTTGGCTGTTCATTATAGGATTTAAGGCGGTTAAAAGTTGACATACTTTATTAGGATAATTAAAGCACGCCAAGAAAAGTTTAAATAGAATATAACAAAACTTTATTAATACTAATTAATTATTTAATTTTTATTTATAATATTTTATAATAAATTTTTTTATTTTAGATCATATTTAATCCTTTACTTGACAATGAGCAAGAGCAAGCTCCCCTAATTGTCATTACTTGGTGTGATTTTAGATCCTATATGAAGAAACATTTTCAAACGAGGAAGTTATAAAACTAATCGTTCAAAACTACTCGTTCTTCTCCATTGCTCCATTCGAATTAGCTCCCGTTTAAGTTTTAATTATTAAATTATTTATTATATTATCAATTATCTAATTATCAAAAAGTCATGTATATTACATTCAAAATAAATTAATTTTATTTTCTAAATGAAACAATTGTCTTAAATTTTGAATTATGTTATCAAATAAGTTTTTAGGATTGATCAAAATTTAATATTTATCATACTAAATTATTTTTATATTTTTATATTTTCAGGATTTATTAAGTTCAAATTTATAGGATTTATTAAATTTCACTAAAGTTAAATCCAATACAATACTTTTTTTTAGGATAAAAACACAGTAAGAGATCTACATGTTAATGAAGTAAAAAAAAAATGTTCAGAATGACTCCAAAGAATGTTAAAATACAGCATTTGAAAGAAATAAACTTAAGAGCTTTGGAATTCACCTGAAAATAAAAATCAAGAGAGTATAAAAAGGTCAGTCTAAGCACAAGCAAATAAAAAAGGAGTTAGAGGCAATCACAAAATGCCCAACAGTCAAATGTCTATATCCAAAGATGTAATGCCAGCGAAAGTTGTAGTCCAAAGATCAAAAAATTGGTGCAACAATAGTAACCTCACATCTCCAATGCATGAGCCACCAAAGCCAATCTCAAAAAACATATATTTTTTGAATTTCTTCTTTCTACGTTTATTCATCTGAACGACTGTATGAACAGAAATTTCATTCAGATCAGTTAATTTATCCTTATCAAACACTTTCTTTTCACCATTCTCAGAAGGAAAGGATAGAGAGCCTTCAATTCAATCAATTTGCTCCAAAATATTGTTCCCCAATCTCACACCTAAATGAGCATACAAGGCATTATCAGATAGAAGCAACTGGAACATCAACAATGTGTTCATTCATGCTCAGTCACATAGAGGAGATTGGCACAATCAGATCAAGAGACATCATAGGAGAAATAATAGAAGGATCGA